ACGACAAAAGAAGACCGTAACAATCTGAAGAGATTGCGGGTCGCTGCTTCCAGCCCTCTTGAGCAAAAACATGTTGTGGAAGACTTGTCGAAGCGCATTGCATTCAGAGTGGATCCTCTGCGCGATCTCACCATAGGCATGGACTACGACGCGATGCGCAGCCAAATGCTGGCACAAACTACGCCGTGTACAGTAATCCTGGAACGATCGCAGCCGCTGCCTGTGTTCGCCTGTAGCAAGAAGCGGTTTCGCGGTCCTACGGGTTTGTTTTTTAACCACCTGTTTGTGTCACGCTCGGCGCCGTGTATCTGGTGCTACGGCTGTAACCAGAACCTCAGCATCACGCAGTTTCGCAGACACACGCACCCGATGAGCGAGACACCATCAACGCACTCATCAGTCGCTCTGCCTCCACCGCAGCTGATGCTGTTCGTCGTAGACCCATCGAAGACCCGGTTCGACTTATGGTGCGCCCTGAGGCACAAACTCGTCCAGTTTCACCTTAACAGTGACGATGTTGACGACGACGGCCACACCCACTCTAACAACCTCCGGTACGACCACGTCTGTGGTACAGGTCCCTCGCCGCAGCGCTCTGTCCGAACCAAGGACAGTTATTACAATCCGTTCCGCTTAAAGCATGTCAATAACTTCAACCATATCGATTCGGCCGCCGCTGGAAAGAGGCCGAAAATCACCGTTGTCAATCCCAAAACAGGATTGGCCTCATCCTCGTCGATGACGTCGACGACCACCGATCCATTTCCCATGCAAGTCCCTCTCCCTATGCCGAATTGTAAAAAGTCTACCATTAGGGGGGACACATTCGCACTCGTGTTGCAACGGTACCATACCGCGAACGCGAATCCTTTCTCGTTTGACGACCTCACAATTGGCTCGTCAGAGAAACTTAAACAAGAGGTCATTCAACGGTGGTATGGCACGAAGTGAAACGAAACACGTACAGTAACGAATCACATTATTGTTGTTCTTACCTTCAGCGTGGTTTCGGACAATGTTTGACCGGCATGTCACCAGTGCGGACTTCACCGGTTTTTCTTTTTACGTTTACTCGTTATCAATTTGTACAAATGTTTCTGAAAATAAATCATTGTGACCTTGTGATTTTACTTACAGTCAGCAAGTGTAGCATGAAACTGGTTCCATTCACTCACCTCTGCAAATATTTTTGACAATACTCGATTGGTGGCGTATTCATTTTGGCGACGCAGCTCTTCGAGCTTCTTCTTTTTATTCGTATATCCGTATTCGACATATTTTCTGAAAATTGTTCACATTTTAATTATTTCTCCACTACGTCACGAACGTTATTTTTAGGTAAAAACAATAAATAGTATGTGTAAAGATACTGTTTTCGAGGGTTACACGTTGTGTCGTCTCTTCGTCAGCTATCAGATAAAGCGAATTGTAATCTTGAGAGTGCGACTTCCTGATCTATATGCACTGACCATATCAGAGTCATGTAGTTTCTATTACTAACGTCAACGAGTCGCCACCCGTTGCTCGGCTGATTGGACCGAAAATAACGTGAGGGTGAATTCGAATGAACAGTCAGAACAGCTTTACCTGTGTCGAGTATACGAACCCGTTTCTTCAAAACCGCAAAGCGACACTAGCATTTAAAGTGAGCATCTGAGTGAATATCAGCCATAGTAAAAGTTTATAAAGAGGGGAAGTAACTTTGTAGGATAAAAAATAAATGTGAACTTCGTTACGTCTTCAAAGGTGGTGTATATCACGAAAAAGTCATCCATATTTTGTACGACTTTTAGCAGTGAATCGGTCAATCTACTTTCAAAACGCGCAATTCGTTACATGCCTCGGTGGTTCTTCCGTTTAGAAAGCAGACATTTGTTCACAAGGAGCAAAGTTGGGTCGTTGTAGGTAATGCAACCGGGTGGTTCTCGGTTTTCTCCTTGATCGCCTTCCTAGTGTACCGACGAATCACTTCTTGGTCATTCTGATCACATGTCCAGACAGTGCTGATGATGAAACGGTAACGAACCTAACAGTACAACCACGTCTTTCGATTAGGGCGAACACTGCATCCACTTCAGTAACCGAAAATCACCTAAGGAAACCTTATATACTCGCGATGTAACGACTCCGACACCATTGAGAAATGGAATCTGTGACAAAAAAATCGGTCAAACAGAAGATTTCAGACTGCAGGCAATTCAGATTGAAACTGCAACCGTTTAGGATGGTTTACAGAGCTGGTATTTGGTGGCAGTATGGTTTATATAGGAAGAAACAGGCGAGTGATGGAACTGCTTATGCATATGCAACTAAGGGAAGGCCACATCTGTAGCGGATATTGTTCAATGATAAATACAGAGAGCAGTATCCAAAACTCGCTGTCGGATATCTTTCCTCGAGACATATTTTACTTATAAGCATAGGGTGAGTAGCGCTTGTCGGATTATAACACGTTTACAGCTACCGTGGCCATTGGACAGCACTACTACATGCTTCTATCACTCCAAGTCTTAAGAACTTTTACGTGAAATTCAACTTATATGACAAAGATGACTGAATAAAAAGATATATAACTAACAACCTTTACTGTCATATTGCCATGAACAGTTTTCGAAACATGATAATGTTATACGTAATGCAATAGGCTGGTCTAATTAATACAAGTTAGTTTTAATGGTGATTACGACGCTGGTGCGTGACGTCGGTGAATGACGGAGTTTACATCGTTGTTGCAAACTGCTGCCTTGAACCTTGTTAACATCACAGACGGTCACTGTGGTCATCATCACTCAGACAGACAGGCAACGGCTCGATGCTTCTCCGTTGACGCTTAAATCATCTATTGATATTGATCATTCAGATGACACAGCATATTGCACTGTATGCATTCATTTGTGTGGGACTTTACTCGTCTGGTGGCAGTAAAACAAAAAGCTATGCACGAAAGAGTAGAAAGTTTAGTTGCCACGGATGTGCGGTATTGCTTTATCAGCGTCACAATAAACTATGAATTATATTTTTTGATTATGTGCCGTGCTTCCGAAAGCTTAAATCATACAACATGTTGTACAGTTGTTTTTTCTCTTGATATGATCATGTTTAGTGAATTGACGAGGCTACATTCAACTACCTTGATCACTTGGGCTGACCCCTA